AGGGGGGGTTATACCATCATTATCAAAATAAAAAATATAGATAATAAGAGGATACATGGGAAACGTAGGAAAAGGTGGACTTTTGACAAAAGAATGAAGGTGATGGCTGTGGTAGAGTGGCCAAAGGAGTGTGGTGCATGCATGGCTTATCAAAAAGAATCCACATCTGAGCAGACGTTGATATTTTTGGACTATTATTTACCACTACATACTAGTTTGGTCTCTCATTTCTCAAGTATATCTTTTCTGGCTAATTATTCGTCGTCCAAATTCTACCTAGTAAGAATTAAACTCCTATATGTTAAATTTTTGGATAAGATCGAACTGTGATTTCATTGGAAGTTAATTATACATTTGGATTGGAGTGTCCTTTATCAAGCTATTGATTTATTTTTCTTTTATTATCAATTTATCATTATCAATTGGTCTTAATCTGGTGATCAGACACAACCTAGAATTTTCTAAAAGAGTGAGAGGGCACAGTTGGATAGTAAGTTAAAAAAAAATGCATGTATAACTCTCAAGCTCGCAGACCTTCTTTCTATTTCGTTAAAAGATGTGTTATCCGAGTCAGATTGTCAACACCTTAACTATTTTATTGAATACTAGTTATTTTTCATTAGGTTCAAGGACATGAACGCACATGTACTAACTCTGTCACACAAAAGCTCATACATATGAAAAACAAATTACAAATTTTGTCACTACTGTAATTTCAGCTTTATTCTCCTATATAATTTTTACCTATTTTAACTATTGAGAGTTAAAATAGTTAATGAGGGTATATTAGACATTACACATGCACACACGTGAGAGGCACGTGTATAGCAGTTATTTTGGTTAAATACTGGTCTCTTGTAATCGAGCTTAGCTCAGAACAAAAATAAAAAATTTCTCTCTTCTTCTTCTCCATTCTGCACTTCTTCGAATTCTCTAGAATCTGAGGTTTGATCATACATGCAATCTCAATTTTATCATGGTATCAGAGCGGGTCATTGAGATCGAGTTGAAATTCTGCAGAATCTGAACATCGAGCACTGATTAAAAGCTTCAATTTCATCAGCCATGGCGAAAACAGGATCTCTTCCAATCGATCACAATCATCCTCTGTTTTTAACAGCTACAGACACACCTGGAGTAGCTTTGCAGGATATCAAGCTCACCGGACCGAAAAATTATTGTTTGTGGAGTAGATCGATGCGGATGACACTTTTGGTGAAGAACAAGCTAGGTTTCATAGAGGGAACTTGCTTGAAAAGCTCTTACAAAGGAGAATTGGCGAATCAATGGGAGAGGTGTAATGCCGTTGTTCTTTCATGGATAGGACGTATAGTATCAGCAGAATTGCAGCTGAGCATCATTTATGCTTCAAATGCAAAAACAGTGTGGAAGGAATTCAAGGAGAGGTTTGATAAATCTAATCTCACTCGTCTTTACCTTCTATGGACACAAATTGGATCATTGAAACAAGGTACTGACTTTGTAACAACATATTATACGAAAATAAAAGATCTCTGGGATGAAGTTGACCTATTAGTACCAGGACCTGGTTGTGATTGTGAAGAAACTAGACCTTTCATTAACCAATTTAAGAACCTGCGTTTATTACAGTTCCTACTTAGGCTTAATGAGAGCTATAGTCAGGTGAGAAGTCAAATATTGGTTAGGACACCAGTTTTGACTGTAAATCAAGCCTATGCTTTGGTTATTCAAGAGGAAAGTCAGCGTGAATTGAGTGTACTTGAGATAAATAGGGAACCATTAACCATGATGGTAGGACAGAATCAAGGATATAAGGGTAAGAAGAGTGGGATTGTTTGTGAGTACTGTGGATATAAGGGACACCTCAAGGAAAATTGTTACAAGATTATAGGATATCCTCCTGATTTCAAAAGCAAGAAGAAACAACAGGGAAAAGGAAATAGAACTTATGCTAACATGGTGGTGGAAGAAACTACAAGCTCATCTCAGGGCCAACAGATGGGACAACTATTCACTAAAGATCAATATAAGCAGATATTGGAGCTTCTAAACAAAACACCTGCAGATGATTATCATACACTGATGGCAGGTATAACTACCTTGTTATCTGATGCATCTTTATGTGAATGGGTAGTAGACACAGGAGCATCTCACCATATCACATGTGATAAGGAAATTCTATCTAACATAGAGAACATTGAGCAACACAGGAATCACAGAGTACAGGTTCCAACAGGTAGCAAATGTTCAGTAACACACAAAGGAAAAACTTCAATCTTACAGGGATATGAATTAAAAGATGTGTTACATGTTCCGAATTTTAAGTTCAATTTACTATCAGTTTCAAAACTGACCAAGGAGCTGCTATGCTGTGCTCTATTCTTCCCTGATTTCTGTGTATTGCAGGGCCTTTACAATGGAAATGTGATGGGGATTGGTAGAGAGAACAGTGGGCTTTATATTCTAAAGTGGAGAGACAAGCCAGTAGCAACATTAGTCACAAAAGACACTGATGAATGCAGTCTTTGGCATATGAGATTGGGACATCCATCAATAATGGCAATGAAGCATATCCCTGCCTTGAAGAATAAAATAGTAGATAGTTTCCAGCATGATTGTGAAGTATGCCCTTTGGATAAACAAAGTAGATTGAAGTTTCCTCTCAGTAGCAGTAAAACTGAGTGTATTTTTCAGCTTATTCACCTTGATGTATGGGGTCCTCACAAGATGCCTACACATGATAGAAAACACTACTTACTTACAATAGTGGATGATTTTAGTAGATACACTTGGGTATGCTTACTACATTCTAAATGTGAAGTTGTAACAGTGTTGAAAGATTTTCTCATAATGGTAAAGACTCAGTTTGGCATAAATGTGAAAATGCCAAGATTTAATAATGGGAGAGAGTTTTTCAATACCAGTTGTAATGAATTATTGGCATCCTTAAGAATTGTGCATCAAAGTAGTTGTCCATATACACCCCAACATAATGAGGTGGTGGAAAGAAAGCACAGACATATACTTGAAGTTCCTAGGGCATTGCAATTTCAGAGTTCTGTTCCTAGTAGATTTTGGGGAGATAGCATAAAGACAGCTGTTTACCTGATCAACAGATGGCCTACCTCCATACTATAAGGAAGATCCCCTTATGAAGTTTCGTATAATAAATCACCAGCTATTGGTCACTTAAGAGTGTTTGGATGCTTGTGTTTTTCTAGAAACTTGCCAAAAGGTGATAAGTTTGCAAGGAGAGCAAGAAAGTCAGTTCTAGTATGTTACTCAGAGGTTCAAAAGCGATACAGATAGTTTGACTTAGAAACTAAAGATATTTTTGTAAGCAGGGATGTTAGCTTTAGAGAGCATGTTTTCCCTTTTAAAGAAAGTACAACCACTCCACAAGATCCATTTCCTACACAAGCTTCTATACCACCATGTCCTGATCCCTCATTGCCTATATCCTCAGACCCTCACATTCCACCTACATACAATACACCAACCACTAATACAGAAATCCCACACCTTGACCACACAGATCAACACACAGAACCAACAGAATTAGAACATGGTGAGCAGGATACCTGTAATGACTTAGTTCCAAACACTGAGTCAGAGGTACATGACACTCCTGACAATAGTATACCTGTGGTTAGAAGTGATCAAGAGCCTAGAAAGACTACCAGGACATTAAAACCCCCAGTTTGGTTAAAAGACTACCAAACTACTCAAAAATTCTCTGGGCAATGCTTATATCCATTGACTAACACCCTCACTTATGCTAATCTCACAGCAGGTTATTAAGCATATCTGCATGCTTTTTCAGCTGAAGTTGAACCTACTAGCTTTCAGCAGGCTTCCACTGACAACAGATGGATTGCAGCTATGGGACAGGAGATTCAGGCTCTTGAAGATAATCAAACTTGGGAGATAATAGACTTACCAGCAGGAAAGCAAGCTATTGGCTCCATGTGGGTATACAAGACCAAATACAAAGCTAATGGAGAGGTAGAAAGATACAAGGCCAGACTAGTTGCTAAAGGCTATAATCAAAAGGAAGGGTTGTATTACCATGACACATTCTCACCTGTAGCAAAGACGGTCACACTCAGGACCATTATCAGCATAGCAGCTGCCAAAGGTTGGTCTCTATTTCAAATGGATGTCAATAATGCCTTCTTACAGGGGGATCTCTATGAAGAGGTCTATATGCAGCTACCTCAAGGATTTCATAAACAGGGGGAGTAGAAAGTGTGCAAGCTTATGAAATCCCTCTATGGTCTCAAACAAGCATCTAGGCAATGGAACATCAAGCTCACTGATGCACTTATTGAGAATGGTTACAAACAAAGTCTTTTTGATCACTCTCTGTTCACAAAGCAGAAAGAAGGAGAAATAGTCATCATATTGGTGTATGTAGACGATTTAATGATCACTGGAAGCTGCTCTAACTTAGTCAATGATGCCAAGAAGGTCCTACACAGCAAGTTCAAGGTTAAAGACTTAGGCAAGCTGAGGTACTTTCTTGGAATTGAGGTATCAAGGTCAAAGAAAGGAATCTTACTCAATCAAAGAAAGTATGCCTTGGAATTAATTTCAGAGGTGGGTTTGAGTGGTGCAAAACCAGCTGCAACTCCTATAGAGTTGAATCAAAAATTGACAACTGTGGAGTATGATACATGTGTTGGGAAAACAGGAGATTTAGAGCTGAAAGATAATTCAGCTTATCAAAGATTAATAGGAAGGCTGCTGTACTTAACAATTACCAGACCTGATATAAGTTTTGCAGTGCAAACTTTGAGCCAGTTCATGCAAAGGCCCAAAGAGTCACATATGGAGGCAGCAATGAGAATAGTCAGATATATCAAAGGGGGACCAGGCATGGGATTACTGATGGAGGCAGGACCTATTGATCAACTAGTGGCTTATTGTGATTCAGATTGGGCATCATGCCTTAATACCAGAAAATCTGTGACAGGATATATTGTTAAATTGGGAAATTTCTTAATATCTTGGAAATCAAAGAAACAACCTACAATAAGCAGGAGTTCAGCAGAAGCTGAATACAGAAGTATGGCTGCTGCAACTACTGAGATTACATGGTTAACAGGATTGCTGGAAGACTTAGGAGTTAAATAGCTGGAAATCCAATACTTCACGAGCGGACACAACATATTGAAATAGATTGCCATTTTGTTAGAGAGAAAATCAAGACAGGACTCATTACACCATGTCATATTCACTCTTCCTTACAACTAGCAGATCTTCTAACAAAAGGACTGACTGCAGCACAACATTCCTTCCTAGTCTCCAAGCTTGGTGTGTTAGACATCTTCCACCATCCAGCTTGAGGGGGAGTATTGAGAGTTAAAATAGTTAATGAGGGTATATTAGACATTACATATGCATACACGTGAGAGGCGCATGTATAGTAGTTATTTTGGTTAAATACTGTTCTCTTGTAATCGAGTTTAGCTCTGAACAAAAATAAACAATTTCTCTCTTCTTCTTCCCCATTCTGCACTTCATCGAATTCTCTAGAATCTGAGGTTTGATCATACATGCAATCCTAATTTTATCACATAGCATGTCACAAAAGAAAAAAAAATAGAGTTGGGATGGGGGGGGGGGGGAGAAATTTTATAAGTAGAATTTTACTTCATCATCCCAAATTTGAAAAAGGGAAAAAGAGTTAAACATAAAAACGTAAAGAGTTTTTCACATAAGTGATAATAACAGGTAACTTCCTTTGATAAGTACAGATTGCTTATCTAAAATACAGTAAATGATCTACACCGCATGGTTCACATTAAGTATACATAATCATTAAAAGTTAATCTAGGTGATAAGTATTCCTTAATCTTTAACTAGATATTTTATTTAGTTCGAGCCTTCGAGAAACGAATTGCCTTTGATAGAGAACCAAATATCGGGTGGAAACCAGAAAAAAGTATAACCTAAAACCAAAATCCCCATTTAATTATTTCATTTCTCATAGCTCTGGACCACAACATGGGAATGTTACAGTTGTGGTTTTGTGCGGTTTTCACGTTGACCTTCATTCACAAATTGAAGCAGTAGAATAGGGGAAGGAATGACAAGAAATTAAATACATCTCTCAGTCACATGATAGCTAGGTGTTTGTCCAGATTTTCTTACCGTAATTGGTTTTCCTATCTCATGAAGGAAAGGACAACATATTTACCATAATTGGGTTTTTCTTTTCCTAGAAAGAAAATATTATTCTTCCATATTTGGCTAGTCCCTTTTCTTGTAGGAAAAGGTTTGGAGTTCTATACATTGAAGATCCGCCCTACTCATTCAGTAGCATCCACAATGTATCCATATGGGATTTGAGAGTCGTGTTTAGGGGGAGAACTTTACGGGACAAATGTTAGTGTGTCAATTGTATTTGCCTCTTCGTAAGGTTGTTCTCTCGATATTTTGTACTCTCTTTTTATTATAGCGGATTGCTCATCTCCGCCGTGGATGTAGGTCAGTTGACCGAACCACGTTAAATGTTTGTGTCTCTTTTGGTAGATTTCTCTTTTGTTGTCTGATTTATCGTCGTTGAAGGTTTGCTTTACTAGCTTCCGCATGACACCTGACTTTTTTCGGTCCTAACAAGTGGTATCAGAGCCTTGGTTATTTATCCGGGTTGTTACAGAATAGAGACGCATATGAGCAAGATGGTGTGTTTAATTAGGAGAAATTATAATGTTTGGAGAAGCAAGATGAAAGACATGTTGTTCGTGCAGAAGATGCATCTTCCTATTTAGCTCATAAACCCGAGAGTATATCAGATGAAGATTGGAATTTCAAGCACCAACAAGTATGTGGATATATACGACAATGGGTTGAAGATAATGTTCGCAACCATATTGTGAACGAGACACATGCGAGATCATTAATCTCCGCAGGAAGATTAGACGATAAAAGTTACCATAATGCCCTCTTTAATGGCCAATGGAAGCTCACCAAGGGCTCGTTAGTAGTGGCTCGAGGAGTCAAGTCTAGTCATTTATATATAACATAGGGCTTTATTCTTAATGACTCTATAAATCTGGTGGAAAGTGATACTTTATCAGAATTGTGGCACAAAAAATTTGAGTCATATGAGTGAGAGGGGGATTACGTGTTTGGCTAAGAAAAGTTTTCTTTCTGGAGTGACACAAGAAAATCTGAAAAGGTGTATCCATTGTTTAGCTGGCAAACAGAAAAGGGTTTCCTTCCATAGCCATCCTCCCTCAAGAAAGCCCGATTTATTGGAGCTAGTACACTCTGATTTGTGTGGTCCTTTTAAAGTAAAGTAAAAAGGTTGTGCACTTTACTTTGTGACCTTCATTGATGATCATTCTCGTAAGCTCTGGGTGTATCCTTTGAAATCTAAAGATCAAGCACTTAGAGTGTTTAAGGAATTTAAGGCCTTAACTAAGAGACAAACGGGGAAGAAATTAAAATGTATTCGCATTGACAATGGTGGTGAATATTGTGGTCCCTTTGATAACTATTGCAAGGAACAAGGAATTCGTCATCAGAAAACTCCGCCCAACACATCTCAATTGAATGTTTTGGCAGAGAGGATGAATAGAACTCTAGTTGAGAGAGTTAGATGCATGCTTTCAGAAGCTAAACTTCCAAATACATTTTGGGTGGAAGCACTTTGCTGCCTATCAATTTGTCTCCTGCTGTTACTTTGGATGGTGATGTCCCAAATAAAGTTTGGTTTGCCAAAGATATTTCTTGTGATCACCTGAGAGTTTTTGGGTGTAAAGCTTGTCTACATGTTCCTAAAGAAGAGAGATCGAAACTGGATGTCAAAACTAAGCAGTGCATCTTTATCGGTTATGGTCAAGATGAATTTGGGTATCGTTTTTATGATCCAGTTGACAATAAACTTATTAGAAGTTGTGATGCAATATTCTTTGAAGACCAGACTATTGAAGAAATTGACAAAGCTGAGAAGATAGATTCTCAGAGTAATGAGAGCTTAGTTGATAGTGATCTAGTTTCTATTGCTAAGGCACCTATTGCACATGAAGGAACCCAAGACAATGATGGAGATAATGATCAAGATCAAAATGATCATCATGGTATAAATGTTATGGATGCTTCAGTTGATGAAGTTGTGGTTGATCAGCAACCAATTCCTGCTCAGGTAACTACTTCGAATTCTCCTGAAACCTCTCTTAGAAGATTTATAAGGGAGAAGCAAAAATCCATGCGCTATCCTCCTGATGAGTATGTACTTTTGACTGACATGAGAGAACTTGAGAATTATGATGAAGCCTTGCAAGATACTCATAAAGATTAGTGGATCGAAGCCATGGAAGATGAGATGAAGTCACTCCATGATAATGGCACATATGAGTTAGTGAAATTGACGAAAGGTAAGAGAGCTTTATCTAACAAATGGATATTAAGAATAAAGCAAGATAACCATACCTCTGTTCCTAGATACAAGGCGAGGTTAGTTGTTAAAGGCTTTGGCCGGAAGAAGGGAGTTGACTTTGATGAAATTTTTTCACTTGTTGTGAAGATGTCTTCTATTCGTGTGGTTCTAGGCCTAGCCGCAAGTCTAGATTCAGAATTTGAGCAAATGGATGTCAAGAGTGCTTTTCTTTGTCACACCTCCTTTTTACTACAGCCGAAAGGGTTATAAGGGAGTTTTTTCCAATTTAAGTGACAATTGAAACGGGATTATTATTTAAGATCAGAGTCGCCACTTGGGATAGTTTATGGTGTCCCAAGTCACCGGTTTAGAATCCCGAATCGAGGAGATTTGACTCTGTTAGTGTCTGCGAAACACAGAAATTCGGATAAGGAATTCTGTTAACCCGGGAGAAGGTGTTAGGCACTCCGGAGTTCCGTGGTTCTAGAACGGTCGCTTTGATCATACTTGGCTCATTAAAATTGTTTAATTATTAATTTTAGAACCTATGTGCATTTGCCATTTTAATTAAGAAATTATCTTGAAACAAGCCACGCGTACGTGTACCCATTTGTTTGGCGCGTCAAAATTATGTCACGCGAACATGTCCATAATTAATAACGCTTTATTATTATTAAGAAAGTTTGGCCAAAGCAGCGCGAACGCATACTCCGATTTTGTCTTTAGAATCGTAATTATGTCACGCGAACGTGTACACAACCACGAGGGTATATTAAACGTGCCTAAAGCAAACTACGAATATCATTTTTATGTCTAAGTGTAAAATTAACACGAGGGCCATAGGGATTCAATTATGGATGGCACACCTCGGCCTAAAGAACTAAATTTAATTTAAAAAGGATTATATTAATAACAAATTTATTATTGTGAAAGTTGGTCGAAGTTACACGAATACATACTCCGAATTAATTTTTTAGAATCGTAATTGTGTCACGCGAATGTGTACGCAATCACAATTGTAAATTAAATCGCGCCTAAAGGCTTTTCTACGAATGTTCATTTTTATAACTAGTTATGACATTTGTGAGGACCATAAGTGATTTAATTAGGGATGACACGCCTCAATCTAAAAAAAAATGTTCGATTTGAAGTATTGTAAGGACCTTGACTAATCTAACTCAAAATTTGGTCTAAAGCCCTAATTGTGAGTATGCATTTAAGATAAATTAACGGCCTTTTGGTTATTTAAGGGAGGTTGAACCAGCTGCAGACTAGCTGGTGATTTAATGGGAATACATTGAGGCTGGGTTCGAAGTTCTCAAAACGAAAGGCCAATTACGCCCAGCAATTAGATTGGGCCAATAATAGGCCCAATAATGCAATGCGCATCCACACTACGAGCCCTTTGTCAAGCATAGGACGTTAAAAGGAGAAGGGGTAGGGGCAGAAGACTCTTGGGCCTGAAGTTGTACCCAAGAGAAAAGGGAAAACTCCATCAGGATGCTTTTAGGCCTCAAAATTGGGCCCAAGCAGTCGAAACAAAGGTCCAAAACCCACCTAAAGTGATCTTGACCAGGCCATTCATTTAGGCCTTACCATGCACATACCCGGAGGTGATCCCACGTCACCCTATCCCATATAGGTGTGATAACGCAAGATGACTGAAATTTCGCAATCCAACCAAGCCCCTGCACCTTAGAACCAAATTTCCACTTCTGAAATTATCTATAAGATCATAGCTTCACAT